TTGGAAAGGAAAGGGTAAACACTGAATAGGAAAAAAAATATCCAATCAGGATTTTTCTTTGCAGATCTCTGGGGAGATACAGTAAATCTATATAGCTAAATCAGCCATTGACTAGGTCATCAGAAGCTAGATAAAGGCATCTGCCATTCAACTGTATTAGGGCAACATTTTTGAGTGACAGTGGAATCAACCAATCACATTTTGACTTAATGAGTGGGACCGTTTTTACAAAAACGTATATGGAAACTTCTTACTTCTTGAAGGACAACAGGTCACTGCGCAATAGCGAGCTGTGGTTTTCCCACGGTCCAGCTAGCTAGCTTTTGTTGTTGGCTAGTTTGCAGCGGCTGCAGCAGGTTTTATCAAAGAAGATGTTTTTGCTAATTTGTTAGCTTCTCGCTTTTCAAGAATAACTTTCATCAAGAAGTTAAGTTTCAAATGATCATTATCTGGTGAGTGGAACTGTGTTTTTTACAGCGCAATTGCTGTTGTTAGCAATCTCTTTGAAAATAACTTACAATACCAGTCAAAAGTTTGGACACACATACTCATTCAATGTTTTTTCTTTCTTTTTACTATTTTCTACATTGTAGAATAATAGTGAAGACATCAAAACTATGAAATAACACATATGGAATCAGGTAGTAACCAAATAAATGTTTAATAAATCAAAATATATTTTAAATTTGGGATTCTACAAATAGCCACCCTTTGCCTTGATGACAGCTTTGCACACTCTTGGCATTCTCTCAACCAGCTTCATGAGGTAGTCACCTGGAATGCATTTCAATTAACAGGTGTGCCTTTTTAAAATGTTAATTTGTGGAATTTCTTTCCTTCTTAGTGCGTTTGAGCCAATCAGTTGTGTTGTGACAAGGTAGGGGGGTATACAGAAGATAGACATATTTGGTAAAAGACCAAGTCCATATTATGGCAAGAACAGCTCAAATAAGCAAAGAGAAAGGACAGTCCATCATTATTTTAACACATGAAGGTCAGTCAATATGGAACATTTCAAGAACTTTGAAAGTTTCTTCAAGTGCAGTCGCAAAAACCATCAAGCTCTTTGATGAAACTGGCTCTCATGAGGACCACCACAGGAATGTAAGACCCACAGTTACCTCTGCTGCAGAGGATAAGTTCATTAGAGTTACCAGCCTCAGAAATTGCAGGCCAAATAAATGCTTCACAGAGTTCAAGTAACAGACACATCTCAACATCAACTGTTCAGAGGGGACTGTGTGAATCAGGCCTTCATGGTCGAATTGGTGCAAAGAAACCAATACTAACGGATACCAATAATAAGAAGAGACCTGCTTGGTCCAATAACCACGAACAATGGACATTAGACTGGTGGAAATGTGTCCTTTGGTCTGGATTCCAAATTTGAGATTTTTGTTTCCAACTGCCGTGTCTTTGTGAGAAGTGGTGTGGATGAACAGGTTATCTCTGCATGTTTAATTCCAACCGTAAAGCATGAAGGAGGAGGTGTTATGGTGTGGGGGTGTTTTACTGGTGACACTGTCTGTGATTTACTTAAAATTCAAGGTACACTTGACCAGCATGGCTAACACAGCATTCTGCAGCGATATGCCATCCCATCTGGTTCGGGCTTAGAGGGACTATCATTTGTTTTTCAACAGGACAATGACCCAACACACATCCAGGCTGTGTAAGGGCTATTTTACCAAGAAGGAGAGGAATGTGTGGTCCTCTGTAGCTCAGCTGGTAGAGCACGGCACTTGTAACGCCAAGGTAGTGGGTTCGATCCCCGGGACCACCCATACACAAATGTATGCACGCATGACTGTAAGTCACTTTGGATAAAAGCGTCTGCTAAATGGCATATTATATTATATTTATTATGAATGGAGTGCTGCATCAGATGACCTGGTCTCTACAATTCCCCGAACTCAACCCAATTGAGATGGTTTGGGATGAGTCGGATGGCAGGGTGAAGGAAAAGCAGCCAACAAGTGCTAAGCATATGTGGGAACTTCTTCAAGACTGTTAGAAAAGCATTCCAGGTGAAGCTTGTTGAGAGAATGCAAGAGTGTGCAAAGCTATTTGAAGAAACTCACATAAAAAAAATATATTTTGATATGTTTAATACTTTTTGGGTTACTACATGATTCCATATGTGTTATTTCATAGTTTTAATGTGTTCACTATTATTCTACAGTGTAGAAAATAGTAAAAATAAAGAAAAACGCTTGAATGAGTAGGTGTGTCCAAACTTTTGACTGGTAGTGTATGTGTGTGAAACATTGTTGCATTTAAAGTGGAACTGACCGCATTTTAGCAACATGACATCTTATACAAATCTGTTCATATACACCCCCAGTAAGAATTACACTTTTTTAAAGCATTTTCTGACAAGCGACCACTTAGATATGGTCATTTTCACATTGTCATAAATTCTTAGAATGTTTGGGAATAAATAAATAAGTCATTTAGCAGATGCTCTTATCCAGAGCGACTTACAGGAGCAATTAGGGTTAAATGCCTTGCTCAAGGGCACATCGACAGATTTTTCACCTAGTCGGCTCTGGGATTAGAACCAGCAAACTTTCCTTACTGGCACAACGCTCTTAACCACTAAGCTACCTGCCGCCCCGGCATTATGTGCACTAAGGCATTTTTAAAAATGCTATAGCAATATAGAGTGGGAAAGTGGCCATGCTTTCGGGCAACTAATAGACACTGCAGTAAATAAAACCAAATAAAAACATACGTCTTGTTCAGGATGGGAGTCTACACAGACCGGTGCGCTATAGTCAATCAGAGCTACAGTACAAAACAAGCCATTTGCCACACGGGCCTGCCATCATTCACTTTGAACTGGACTGTGTTTTTACAGGCAGTTGCAACAGTGCAACTTTAGATCGCTAGAATGCATTCGCCAAAAGCCACAAAATACACCTGAATGGATTTCTGCAAATATGTAAACACAAAGAGAGTCCTGTTACATTTGGGAACTTTACAGTCCTATTGATCAAACAACCATGAAAAGGTAGGCTCTCTCTCCCTCAGTTATGCACATCAACAACAACAAGATCAACAACTAATGATAGCCAGAGCAAGATGAGCTAAAACCTAACAAAAGAACATCAGATAAACCCTCTCAAACATTTTCAGCTAGTTGGCCGTCAAAATTGCACTAATAAACTATGGGGAATTGTAGCATCCTCGTCCTTCTGCAGCTTGCCTGCCAATGCATGCTTGTCCCAACCAAGCAGCCAAGCTAACTGGCTAAAGTTGGCTAGCTTGCTAGCTAGCAACTTCCAGACACAAATGAGAGAACAACTTACTCTGACCATTTTACTCGCTGTAGCAGATCTGGTTAGGCATGTTTACATGTTATCTAGAGCGATCTTGATTCTTACATACAATAGGGATAACAATAGACAAAAATCCATCTTCGTATTTGATCCTAACTTAAAAAAGAATTATTGCATATTATCATCCATTATAGGGGGAAAGGGGAGTTCCTGGAGAGACAGCAAGTTATCAGTATCACCTTCTTTAGTAGCATTGAACATGATAGTTCGTTCCCCGGGACCACCCATACACAAAAAATGTATGCACGCATGACTGTAAGTCGCTTTGGATAAAAGCGTCTGCTAAATGGCATATTATTATTATTATTATTATTATTATTATTATTATTATTATTATTATTATCAAATACATTAAACGAAAGATTCCAGCTATCACCCACTGAGCTATCTGGGAGCCCCAAGCTCCAAAGAGGCCTTTCAGCCAACCAGTAAACACCCACTCTGATTCCCTGGAATGAGACTTTGCAACAGTGGCAATGTAGTTAGCAAGATCAGTCACATTTGATGACACATCTGGGACAAAAGTGCAGCATTAGTCGCCAATGAGTGCACAAGTACCCCCTTGACCAGCCAATAAGTGGTAAATTGCCTCCCTGTTTTGCAGGGCCACCTTGCGGAGTGCTTTCTCTCCCTCATTCAGAGAAACCAAGGCATCTCTAGTAGCATTTCCCATTTTCTCAACTTTAATAGCCAAATCTCGAGTTGGATCTAAGGCACATGCAACTCCATATTGGGGCAGCAAAACCCCAGCGAATCGGGAGAAGAAGATCTGCACCTGAGTGACATCTGCAAGGGATTCCTTATTAAAACAAGGGGTCGGCTGATGATAGTCCCTGAACAGAACCTTCAATTCCGTTTCAGTGTTTCCAAGGACTCTCATGGCTGGCACCACAAACCCAACAGTACACATCCCTCCCCAATTAGGTGGTAAACTATAATAAGCAAATCTGCCACTCAACCAATAGGTACCATTTGGGACTCCTTTCAGTGCGATAGACTTATTGTAGACAGAAATTGTATAAGTCACATTTCCTGGTGCTCCTGTAACATAATCATATACTATAAGAGAGCAGTTATTGCTGCCATTAACCAACAAAGTACAGTTACAATCATTTTCACCCAAATAATTACTCCCATTTCCTCTAATATACCAGGGAGCTACCAGGGATCCTACTATAGGGATGGGTGGGACACTGCCATTGTCTGGCCTAGGATATGCAAGGCTAACAGAAGCATTGTGTCACACCAGCCTTCGCTTTTGCTCCCTCTCCTGTCCAGCTCAGGCGTTTGGCGTCGCCAGCCCTCTAGCTGCTGCCGAACCTGCTGCTGGCAAACGCCCTTCACTCATCAACCCCGGACTTGACTCGTCATCATTACACACACCTGGTTCCAATCCCCAATCTATCACTGTATATTTACTCCCTCTGCCGTTTGTCTTTGTCGGTCATTGTGAATGTTATGTTATGAAGATATATTTTGAGCACAACAGCGTTTGGGTTTCGTCCTGCTTTGATCTATGGTGCTTAAAGAAATTCAGTAGTTCTAAACCTGTGACTGCCTACTCCTCTCTACACCAGTGACAGAAAGACCGACCCAAGAAAACAGGAGGCAGCAGGACATCCCGACCTATCCGCTGTAGGAGAGAAGCTCGGGAGTGCCATGGACGAGGTGATCCGGACCGTACGCCAACTGCAGGCTACACCTCCACCTTCCCAGGTCGTTCCAGCCACCCCACCACCTTCTACATCACCCGGTCCAATCAACAACGTACACCTGCCCCTCCCAGAGTGGATTGACGGCACCCCAGCTCACTGTAGGGGCTTTGCCCTACAGTCTGACCTCCCCCTTGCACGTCATGCCGGGATGGCCTCCGAGAGGGACAAGGTGGCCTTGGTGATTTCAGTGCTGACAGGCCAGCCTCTGGAGGAGGCGCATGCCGTCTGGGAGAGGACGGTCTAGAAGTACAGTCCTATGAGCGCTTCACCCAACTCTTCCGTTCCTTTTTTCGACCACCCAACAGAGGGCTGAGAGGGAGTTGAGAGTCTCCTGTGTCTGCGCCAGGGGTCCAGGACAGCGTCTGAGTACGCTCTGGATTTCTGGACGGTGGCTGCGTCCACTGGCTGGAATGACCAGGCCCTGTTGACGGTTTTCCGCAGCGGGCTACAGGCGGACGTCCAGACCGAGCTGGTCTGTCGCGATGAGGACCTCACGCTGGACCAGCTCATCACCATGGCCACTCGCCTGGATAATCTCCTGCATGCCCGTCGTCGCCCATTCAAGGGGTTCGGGTCTCTCCCAGGAACCTCCAGCGAGACTGAGCCCACGAAGGTGGTCACGGCGCACCTTCCCCCTGCGGAATGTTAACACTGTCATCAAAGGGGTCCCTGCTCCTACAGCGGGGAGTCGGACCACCCCGGAACACCTGTCCCAGAAGGAAAACCAGACGTGGAAGCGACAGGAGGTCGAGGAGCAGTCCTGCACCTTCCCAGGTAGGTGTGGATGTGCCTTGCTCCGCTCAGTCCACCCAGCTCATCCTCCTCCCTGTCACCTTCCCTGACTATCCTGGTCCTCCACTGAGTCCTGCCCTAGTGGACTCAGGAGCTGCAGGCAATTTCCTAGACCGGTCAGTGGCCTTATCATTACGCATTCCTCTAGTCCCTTTACAATCCCATACCCCAGTCCATGCCCTAGACAACCATCCCCTAGGAACAGGACTGGTGCGTCAGACCATGATTCCCATTTCCCTCACAGTTAATCACAACCACCATGAACGCATCACTTTCCTCATCTTAGACTCTCCTGCACACCCCGTAGTTTTAGGTTTCCCCTAGCTACTGTTGCATAACCCCAGTATATCGTGGACAGAGAGGAGGTTGTTTGGTTGGTCGCAGGAGTGTCAGGGGAGGTGTCTCTCTGTGTCAATCTGTGCCACCTCCATAGAAAGTCCGGACCAGGCCACCCACATCCCTATCCTAGAGGAATACCGGGACCTAAAGGTGGCCTTGGTGACACCCATTATTCCCCTGTCCCGCTTTGTGGCTCCTGTTGTGTGGAATGTGGACACGGACATCCGTTGAGCCCTGCGACAGGAGCCCTCACCTGCCCACTGTCCCGAGGGTCATATCTACGTGCCCTCTGATGTGCGGGACCGTCTCCTCGCCTGGGCAAACACAGCACCTGTGTCGGGGCACCCGGGTAGAGCCTGTACAATCGACTGTCTCTCCGCCAAGTACTGGTGGCCCACCTTACACACACCTGGTTCCAATGCCCACTCTATCTCTATACTCCCTCTGCCATTTGTCTTTGTCGGTCATTGTAAATGTTACTTGTTTTCCTGAGTGGAATCTCTCCTACTATTTCATGAGTACTTGTTGTTCATGAAGATATATTTTGAGCACAACAGCGTTTGGGTTTCATCCCGCTTTGATCTATGGTGCTTAAATAAATTCAGTAGTTCTAAACCTGCGACTGCCTCCTGCCTACTCCTCTCTACACCAGTGACACATTGTACATTGCAAAATAAGTCATAGGGTTGGGATTCCTTGGTGGGAAGTAGCCAATGACAGTATTGGGGACAGTGAAATTGTTAAGTTCACCCCAAGGGAAAACCTACATATGGGAGACCCTTACCTACTCCCACAGGACCCAACCCACATACCCAACAAGAAGTCTTATATGCAGTAACATTTGCCACATTTACATTTTAGTCTTTTAGCAGACGCTCTTATCCAGAGCGACTTACAGTTAGTGAGTGCATACATAATTGATTTATTTTTCATACTGGCCCCCCGTGGGAATCAAACCCACAACCCTGGCGTTGCAAACGCCATGCTCTACCAACTGAGCTACATCCCTGCCGGCCATTCCCTCCCCTACCCTGGACGACGCTGGGCCAATTGTGTGCCGCCCCATGGGTCTCCCGGTCGCAGCCGGCTACGACAGAGCCTGGATTTGAACCAGGATCTCTAGTGGCACAGCTAGCACTGCGATACAGTGCCTTAGACCACTGCGCCACTCGGGAGATGCCACCATTTCAGCCCGAGATAGGAACAGATTCCCTCCCTCATCTTGACCTTTTACTTCTCTTTTTCTTTGACTGACTTCTCCTTCTGGATCACTAGTCCGGGTCTGCGGTGGTCCCTTTGGCTCGAGACATTCATCTTCACATGAACAGTCACCCACTGGAGGGCAACCAACTGTTCCAATCAACACAGTTGTGCAGATCCAGACAGGCAGGCCACACAGCCTAAGGGATGGGACTCCCGCCATCCTCCTCAGGGGCAGGAACTCATCTGCAGTGCAAGACATGAATCCAGGTGTCCCTCTCAGCTGCCTTTACCGCAGCCGGGGTGGTCAGCAAAACCTGATCTTGGCCTCTCCAACGAGGATCCTTTCAGCTCTTCCTTCTGTAGTCTGTAGAGGAAATTGCATGTTACTCATTCTCATGGGTCACCCTGTCAGCACCTCATGGGGAGAGAGACCAGTCACTGTGTGGGATCTGCCTCTCATGCTCATCAGTGCCAATGGAAGCACCTTCACCCATGTCAGGCTTGTTTCACCAATCAGCTTAATCAATTTCGTTTTTAGGGTTTGGTTTTCCCGTTCTACCGCACCCCCAGAATGAGGATGACAGGCACAATGGGTTCTCAAATGAATCTGTAAAGCCTCAGACAGGGACTGAACAATCTCATTCACAAAATGTCCACCATTGTCGGAGGAGACTTTTGACGGCAGACCCCACGTTGGTATGATCTCTCTCAGAAGAGCCTTTGCCACAGCTGCTACTGTAGCTCTCCTTCAAGGAAAAGCTTCAATCCATTTAGAAAATATGTAAATAATCCCCAAACAATACTTGTTCTCCTCACAACGGTCAACTCAATTAATTCCATCATTAAGTGCTCAAAGGGGCCCTCTGGCCTGGGATGGGACGTGGCCAGCAGGGATGTAGCTCAGTTGGCAGAGCATGGCGTTTGCAATGCCAGGGTTGTGGGGTCGATTCCCACGGGGGGCCAGTATGAAAAATTAAATAAAAAATAATGTATGCACTCACTAACTGTAAGTCGCTCTGGATAAGAGCGTCTGCTAAAAATGACAATAAAAAAATGATAATAAAAAATCAAGCCATACACCTGAGGTGTCCTTGTGACAGTGTTCAGCCCACTGCCTTTTCTCAGTCGCATCAGCTGCTGCCTGCAAAACAACAACATCATTAGGAGAGAAGGGGTTAGTGGGAACAGGAACTGCTGCCATCTGTAGAAGTTGGGGAAACAGAAGCGGAAGCAGCCAGCTTGGCCACACAATCAGCTTTAGAGTTCTCTTGAGAAACACTGTCCTTTGCAGAAGTGTGTGCTTGGCACTTAACCACTGCAATAGATGAGGGGAGCTGAACGGCCGTCAGCAAAGTGGAGACAAGATCACTGTGAGCAATAGTGTTTCCAAACGAAGTTAAAAAATCCTCTATTCTTCCACAACGTGCCAAAATCATGCACAACACCAAATGCATATTTACCATCAGTGTAGATATTAACAGAGCAATCTTTAGCCAAAATACATGCTCTGGTTAAACCAAATAACTCTGCAGCCTGAGTAGACAAGTGAGGGGGCAGTCTATTACTTTCCACAGTTTGAAAAGCGGTGACAACAGCATAGGTTCACCATTGTCGTTTCGCTGGGCAGAGCCTTCAACAAAAATCTCAAAGTCTGAATTCAAAAGAGGAACGACTTTTAGCTCAAGCCTAGGGCCACAGTCAATCTCAACAGTCAATTCACAGTCATGTTCTTCACTGGCATCAGTTGTAGGGAGAAGAGTAGATGGGTTAAGCACAGTTCATCTTTTCAGGGTAATGTGAAACATTATCAACAGAATGTTCTGATAATCCAGCAATTTGGCAGGTGTAAAATGGGCAGTTTATACCTGTGTAATAATGGCATGAACCACATGGTGAGCTCAGTCATTGCTACAATATCAGAACATGCCAAAACCGCCTCAGTTGCCGCAGCAACAGAGCAAAGGCAGGAAACCATGCCTCGGATAACAGTGTCTAAACGCTTAGAGTAGTCCCCACAGGACTATAGCCAACTCTGTGGTACTGTGTCAACACAGCAGACATAAACCCATGATTCTCAGAGACAACAAGATGGAATGGTTCGGAGTGGTCAGGCAAACCCAAACAGGTGGTCGACATTAGAGCCTGCTTTAACTTAATCAAGGCTAATTCAGCCTTAGGTATCCATTCCACCACTTCAGACATTTCCATCTTTCTGCCATAAATACAATCCTACAGAGGCTGTACTGTCTCCTCATAGTCTTTCAACCATGAGCGAGAGTAGCCAGCCACTCCCAACAGCGACATCATGTGCTGCTTAGTAACAGGTTTAGGCAGGGACTTTATCGCCTCAAGCCTATCTTTAGAGAGGGCGCAACCCTCAGAAGTAATGTCATGTCCCAAATATTGAACAACACAGAGGAAGGCCCAAAAACAACACTGAGGAAGGTCAAAAATGTTTTCAAAGACTCCAGTCACCCAAGTCACTGACAGTCCTCTCTGCTACCGCATGGCAAGCGGTACCGGAGTGCCAAGTCTAGGTCCAAAAGGCCCCTTAACTGCTTCTACCCCCAAGCAATAAGACTGCTGAACAATTAATCAAATGGTCACCCGGACTATTTGCATTGACCCCCCCCCCCCCCCCTTGTTTTTACACTGCTGCTACCTGCTGCTTATTATCTATGGATAGTCACTTTATCCCTACCTACATGTACAAATTACCTCGACTAACCTGTACCCTCACACATTGACTCAGTACCGGTACCCCCTGTATATAGCCTCATCATTATTATTTTATTGTGAAACATTGTTATTTTATTATTTTTTTTACTTTAGTTTATATAGTAAATATTTTCTTAACTCTATTTTCCTAAAACGACATTGTTGATTACCAGCTTGTAAGTAAGCACTTCACGGTAACGTCTACACCTGTTGTGTTCGGCGCACATGACAAATAAAATGTGATTTGATTAGATTTTTTGATTTTGTCCCGATAGGCCTCAAAATGGCCTCTATTTCTGTTTATTTCATTAGGATATAATATGATTACCAGGTGTTTTGAATTCCATTAAGACTATACATTATTTATATTGAGGATAAATAAATAAAAAATGTAATGGCACCATTTTGAATAAAACTGATAAGATCTTTATGCAGTACATGTGAATAATAACTAAATCCGTAGAAACTTTAATGCCCTAATACAGTAACTTCGGAAAGTATGCAGATCCCTTGACTTTTTCCACATTTTGCTAGGTTACAGCCTTATTCTGAAATTGATTGAATTAATTTTTTTCCTCATCAATTTACAAACAATATCCCATAATGACAAAGCAAAAAGCAGGTTTTCAGAATGTTTGCTAATTTATTAAAAATGAAAACTGGAAATATCACATTTACTTATGTATTGAGACCCTTTACTCAGTACTTTGTTGAAGCACATTTGGCAGCGATTACAGCCTCGAGTTTAATTGGGTATGACACTATAAGCTTGGCACACGTGTATTTGGGGAGTTTCTCCCATTCTTCTCTGCAGATCCTCTCAAGCTCTGTCAGGTTGGATTGGGAGTGTTGCTGCACAGCTATTTTCAGGTCCTTCCAGAGATGTTCGATTGGGTTCAAGTCCGGACTCTGGCTGGGCCACACAAGGATATTCAGAGACTTGCCCCAAAGCCACTCCTGAGTTGTCTTGGCTTTGTGCTTAGGGTTGTTGTCCTGTTGGAAGGTAAACCTTCGTCCCAGTCTGAGGTCCTGAGCGCTCTGGAGCAGGTTTTCATCAAGGATCTCTCTGTACTTTGCTCTGTTAATCTTTGCCTCGATCCTGGCTAGTCTCCCGGTCCATGCCACTGAAAAACATCCCCACAGCATGATGCTGCCATCACCCTGCTTCACTGTAGGGATGGTGCCAGGTTTCCTCCAGATGTGACGCTTGGCATTCAGGCCAAAGAGTTACATCTTGGTTTCATCAGACCAGATAATCTTGTTTCTCATGGTCTGAGAGTCTTTAGGTGCCTTTTGGCAAACTTAAAACG